TTATATATCTGCAAAGGCATTCTTATTGAAGCATGTAGAATGACATTTTTGTGAGAAATGACCCAAACCTCACAGGTTATAGTTCTTATTCACACATTTCTCTAGATAGATCTTGCTCTATTCCCTGCAGCAAAAGTGTGCTAAACAAAAATAATCAGTTCATTTATGTAAAAGTGCTTTGAAGAGTTCAAAAGGGCTATGTCAATACAAGATGTTTGTTGTGTAAGTTTATTGATATTGTCAGTCCTTGTAATTATACTGTAAGTTTATACAAGTACTCATGAGGCTAAAAATCTGGAACTGCTAGAATTTTATCTTTCACGCCATTTTTGTGAAGTAGGAGACTTATGTATACAAAATCACTTGGTAATTTGGCTCGAAGTGAAATTAAATCACCCCTATATTAGTAAAAATGAATACTTTTATTCATATCCCTTAGATGTCAAAAAGATAGTATTTATTCTTATTTACTCTTCAGAAGAAAGGATTTTGTGAAAATCACTAGATATATATCAGTGCTAAATTATATTAGGTGCTTTGCATAGCAGTTATTATATAGACAAACTATTAATAATAATTATGACTGTGGGTGTTGAGCATTCAAATAAAGATTTTTCCATCTGTAAGTATATTTGCTTCCTAGAACCTTTCAGTGGTCCTATTTATTACAGCATGATATGGGATAACATGAATCCAATTTAAAATACTTTGGTTACTAGAGTAACATCAACAAAAAGAGTAATTATAAAGAGCTTCCATATTTCAGCACAGACCCATTGCATAACCTTAAGAACACTACTATACCAAGACTCTAGAATTTTGATAGGTATATATACATGACTGAATAAAATGTAAACTTTATACAATTTCAAAATAGTTTTACCTTAAATGCAAAACGACACTGATTAAGTACTTCCATAGAAGAATAACTGTTTTAAATTTAAACATATATTTGCCTTTGATTTAGGATAACTCAATTAAGTGAAATTTGTTCTAAGAAAAATCTGCTTCTACTATCTTTCAACATTTAAAAATGAGAACTAATTTGTAATATCTTTTTACGAGAAAACAGGAAATGTAGTTTCTTCTTGTCAGTAATCACTAGAGTATGAAAGTACTTGACTTCCATTGCTTGGCGATTTAACTTGTAACTTATAAAATACCTATGAAATAAGTTCAAAATTGGGGGTATATAAAAGAAAAAGGGCAAGATTATTTAATTATAAAAGGCAGGGATGGAACCATGTAATCTCTTATCAAAACCACTGTTTTGACATCGTAAAAATCATTGATCAGTGGCAAATACAGGTGTGGTCTTGCCAAAGGGAAGTGACAGCTGCCCAGGCCTTGCCACCCCTATTCCACATTTCCATCTCACTCCAGTTAAATTTCAGTTAACTAATCATTTGAAGACCGAAGCAAACAACAGCAACAAAAATCTATAACTCATAGCTTTCATGGGACATGATTTTCTAAATGTTTCGCCTTTTCTTTTCTTTGCATTGTTCAGTACCAGGTCACTTTTAGGACTCTCCATGTTCCCTAGGAGGAAAGTTGCCAGTCTGAAAGTTCAGTGTCTTTAGCATTTTTTCGCTTATCACGTTTTTGCCCTCTAGGTGCCAACCTGGATTCACTGGAGCAAGATGTACTGAGAATGTGCCCATGAAAGTCCAAAACCAAGAAAGTATGTTAAAATAATCTGAAATTTGCTTTCTCCCCCGAACTACAGCAACAATCACTACTGCTTGGTGCTTTTACAGCTCAGCTGACACTGATTCCCTTTGTTCTAATTATGGCTTGACTCCACTCAAGGCATGAACCCATTCAACATGACCTTACTGACCCCCTCCACGTGGGTTCCAAAGTTCGCAATTTGCAGGAACCACCAGTCAGCATGGCCCGTGGTGTTGGCGATCACGGCAGGCAAACCACCTAAAACATATTTCCTTCCAACATTCGCCACCAAAGCTCTCCAGTGGAAAAACCGAGATGAATAAAACGTCAGCTTTCATTTTAAGTGGCTCCCTCTGAAATAAAGCAGTCATTTAAAATGCTGGGATCTCTCTGTCATACAAACCTAAGAACTGCGTTTCATCCAAATTTTCAACCATTTTTGGGGGGGAAGTGAAATGCCAGAGTCCGAAAGCCAATGATTAGGACAGAGATTCAGTTTCCTGAGGGTGAACCCACCAAGGTCAGTCAAATGAAACTGAAGGAGCTTCTTTCTAGCATATATTCACCTCTTCTCTTTTTCTCTGTTTTTTCTACCATTGTTTTTTGTTTCTTCTCTCAGGTGCCCAAATGAGTTTACTGGTGATCGTTGCCAAAACTACGTAATGGCCAGCTTCTACAGTACGTCCACTCCCTTTCTGTCTCTGCCTGAATAGGAGCATGTCACTCGGTGCCGCTTTCTTGTCGCTGCATCTCCCCTCAGAGCCCACCTAGTGCTAGATGTGTTTTACCAGGTCTCATAGTGACTGCCTCTGCCTGTCGCATGAACCATTAACACACGTGATTGTATCACTTCCTCTGTCCGTGCCTAGTTGGCTCTGAGCTACTAATAGGTGTGTGAGGCTCCGGATGTTTCTGGAATCGATTATTGAATAATGTGCTACCAATTGATAGTCGACCTCCAGCAGTGAAATGATAATAAAGGCATTGAAAAGTCTCACTTTTATTGATAAAATAAAAAGCATTCCACTTGAACAGTCCATCTTCTTTACACAATGACAACATCCAGAAAGGGTGTTTGCTAAGCTGTAACCAATATGCTCTTGCGATGATGGTAAGTTAATTTGGGTTCAGAATGTGTTATTTATAACAAATAAACATGATAAAAGGAGTTCAGATGTTTCTCTTCATTAACCAAACAGTTTGTATTTAGATATATATATATATGTGTGTGTATATATATATATATTTTTTTTCCTGAGTAGGAAAATTAAAAACAAACATTTCACAGCAAATGAAATAGCCTAGCTTCTATTTATGTTGCTTAGGGAACAAGTAATTCAGGACTAGTCTAAACAATCATTTATTTATGTTAGCATCTCTTTACGTTAGCTTTTCTTTGTGTTAGTTTCAAAGGTAATTGTAGAAGAAAATAGTCACTGCTATTTATTAAAATATTTATGACTTCAAAATATAGCAGTTCAACTCTAAGATATGTATATTTTTTAAGGCAGAACTGAGAAATTCTGATGGATTTCTATGGCTTCATGAAGTTTTAAGAATTATTCCTAAAGACCCAATTCACATTGTATATAATTGCATGGATAAATAAACCATGTGTTTGTCCTATTGTGAACTGGGTTTATAGCTTTTGATTCTGGAATTTTTAAAATACTGTATTTAAAATGGATTCCATATAGTTCTTTATTCCAGTGAAATACTGGCAAATTTTTCTGTAAAGGTGCAGATAACAAATATTCTAGGGTTTGTGGTGATACTATTGCTGTCCCAGCTGCTCAGCCCTACCCCTGTAGCATGAAAGCAGCCATGGCCAACACGTAAACTGATGTGCATGGCTGTGTTCCATTAAATCTTTATTCACAAAAGCAGGCAGTGGGCCGGATTTGTCAACCACTGATTAAGCTTGTTAATTGCTCACTTGGAAAAATATTTCACATAGCTCATTGCAGTATAAATTTATATAACATAAGAAACAGTGATATAAGCTGAAGAATCAGATTTACCCTTGTTCTCATACATGCAAAAAATAAGGTTCAATAACTCCTGTTATCATCATAGTAATTTTCAGAAGAAATTCTACAGTGTATGAAGGGGAGATTAGGCCCATAATATTCAGTCAATTATTTAGTGAAGTGGCACTTACATTTTACATAGGCTACATATCAAAGATTTTGTCATAGGCCATTTTCTATTGTAAAAAAATCAGTAAATTGACATTGCAAAATTTCCAAACACAATCTTCACTTCATTCACAAGTGTTTAAATAATATGTATTCAGTGGGCAGAATTTTTCTATCCATAGCTGTAATTAATAATTTGATTTTTAAAGGTAGATAGAATAGAAAGTGAAAATAGAAGGGAAAAATAGAATTTTATTTAATACGTGAAAGCCATACCTTTTAGAAATGTGTGTTTGTATTCAAAAAACATAGATTCAACAAGTCCATGAGACTATATAAATACAATAAAATCATATTTCAGATTTTAATGGAAATTCTGAACACTTAAGTTATACTTAACCTTTTGTTGTTATATAGAATTTTATTGTGCATCGAAGGCAATGTTTGGGCCCTATATGGAGAAAAGCATTAAAAACGAAGCTATATCCCATAATAATTATGCAGTTAGATATGACAGCAGTAACCAGAGAAAATACTTTCAACTTCTGTTTTAGACCGTTTTTTCTTTCATAAGATAGCATTTAAAAATATGTATTTGTGAAGTTCGGAGTGTGATTCCTGAAATAAATTCTTTAGTAAGGTTTCGATACCACTTTTGGAAGCGATCCAGGAAAGCAGCGTTCATACTTAACCTGATTTGACAAATATTGCTAGGAAGCACATTTCTGAACAATATATTTAATGACTGGGCATCCGCGATGCTTCATGTCCGGAAAAGCAGGAGCTTCCAATCAGAAATTGCTCCCCAGACTTGTCTTAACCAGAGTTAATTTTCTAACCTCTGTGTCTTAAATTTTCAGTTTTTATCTCTGCAAACCCCTGCATAGAAGGCAGGCAAATAAATTTCTCCTGCTCTAAGAACTTTATGTTCAAGTAGCAACAAAGGCTGAAGAAAGAACAGAAAAGCTTGCCACCGTGCCCATTTTTAAATTTAATCGTTTGTAGTCATAACATCTGGAGAGCATAAATTTTAAATAGAAACTGGGAAAATGTGTCCCCAGCTTCAACGAGAAATGTTTAAAATTTACCAAACAATGTTTTCAGTTGAAGAATAACATTCTATAAGAATACACAATTTTTCAAAAGGCTTATTAACACATAACTTCCATTATTAGGATTGGATACAGTGACTCTGGTCAGAATGGCCTACGGGGCATTCATTGATTTATAAAAACTGATTTAAAAAATGAAAGGAACAAATGTATATTTTATAAGGCAGCCATTTGCCTTGAAATAAAACATTATTTATAGAGCTTTCTAGGAAAATACTGTCAAGGCTAGTCAGCTTCAAGTTTGACCTATCCTGACATAGAATTCTTAGTTGAAAGGATTGTGTTCTTTAATATGTGACGTAGGATATTTGTGTGTGTGTGTTTGTGAGTGCGCATGTACACAGGCAATCCACAATCGATGTATTTACTATCCTTTATGGAGGAAAAAAGAAAAAGCATTCACAGTTTCAATAGTTACAGACAATATGGAACAACTGTGTCATATATAAGCTAACGTATAATAGGACCTAATTATAGAATAGCTCAAATTACAGACCATTTTAAAAGAGTACAATTTTAGAACTTCTAGGCCCATTCTCAAAATGAGTAAACTTAGCAGATAGCCTTAAAAGTAGTTTAGAATCACAGGTTACCAGTGCCTCAATTATTTGCATGGATTTCTGAATGCTTTTAAAACCTTTTGAAATGACTTATTTATCAAACGTGTATCTTGCTAACAGTAAAATAAAGAACCTCCTCACCTATGACAATTGTCATAAATTCCAGCTGTTAGTGACATTTTACAATGTGTGTGTGTGTGTGTGTGTGTGTGTGAGCTCATGTGCACATGGAACTTGGGAGTAAGCAGAAAGTCTGTTACATTCCAAAGGGCTCAGTGACAATACGGATTGATATATATGAAAAAAAAAGTATCTACATTTTATAAAGGTAAGTCCAAAATTAAAAGACACTAAATTGATCCCATTTAGAATTGGCATTGACAGAAACTCTGTTGGAAAACACAGAAAGTGCAGAAAGTCAAGACTTAACCCATAAGTCTTTGAGATTATTTGCATAAGTAGGCCCAAGATGTTAAAGAGTAAAATCCTGAATATTTTCGCTTTTTAACAGAAACCGTAATTGCATGCACGTATAATTTTGGTAAAATGAAAGTTGTTTTATTGTTCTTTAATGCAGTTGAAAACTTAAATTAACCTACAGGTTAATCAGTTTTCCTCAAGCAATTATAAAATTCTAAGGCAAAGGATTAGTGAGTCAATATTTAATAGTTTCTGAAGACTTTTAGATTTAAATTAATTTTTTATATTGCTTACAGCACAGCAGGAAATCACATGTAGGAAAGGAAACTAAATTGTTTACAGTAACCTTTGTGTTTTTGAATTATTAATTTAATTTGACGAATGCGGCTAGGCAGAGGTTCAATAGGAAGCACGTGATCTCTAATGAGCCTAAGCCAACATTAGATTAAATAGAACAGATAGAAAGTAATAACCTCTTCAAAAAATGGAAAGTGCTCGTGCATTCTGCTTTTTTGACTCACAATGAGAGAAACGTAGCTACCAGTAGTAAAAATGAATTAGAGCAGTATTTGCTCCAGGTCTTGAATGAGTGATGCATGTTTCCTCTGCTTGTTTCCTTGTTAGGGCTTATGGCCAGAAGAGATTCCAATTTTAAGTACCAATTTCCCATTGAATTATTTGAAATTGGAGCTGCCTGATTATGAATGACTTCCCATGAAATGAAATTACAGTTAGGCTCACAGACTTACCTATAAAACTATAAATGCAGTAATGTGTATG